AAATTAGCATTTTGGGGCTAATATTGACAGACAACGTTTTTCAACCGATGTGATTTCGTATTTAAGACAACAATAAGTGTTTTAATCTTTACCAGCTCTGAGCTTTGGTAGTAATAAATAGATACATTCCTTCACGCGGTTTAAGAGTGGACTAGAAGGGCAATGTAGTACCTATCAGAGCAGATATAATGAATTCAATATAAAATATGTTTACATTGGATTCATCAAATGAAAGTAAAATAAACAACCTTATTATCTTTTACATAAGCCTTGTCTGCCTATCGTTCATCCCTGTTTAGGTTTAGTTTTAGGTGTATATCGATATAGCACAGACCTGCTGTGCTAAAATGATTGGTGAGTGTGTGTCTGTGAGTGAGAACGTTTGCAGAAAGGATAGCTTACTAATACTGTGACACTGGAAACTGCGAAGCGGAAATGGCGCAACGGTTCATCATTCACTTTGCTAAGTTTGTGCGTGATAGATGTTCTTTGCTGAAGTGTGAATGAATGGAAAGAAAATGGAGGACGACGGCTCGGAAGGATACGACAGTAGTATGCACTGATGCTTCATGTCGAAATGTAGTTTTTGATCCGCAGTCTACCGCCGACACGTAAAACTCCATGCTTGTCGATAAATGGTGAAAGGTTGATCAGTTTGTGCTTTGAGTCGATCACCTTTCCTTGCAACTGGTCGATCAGCTCGGGGTAGGCCTCCCCCTGCACTAACTTCACCAACTGTTGTCAGGCGGCTGTCTTCTCTGTATTACTTATCTCCTCTGTTCTCGGAACTTCTGGCTGCTTCTTCAGAATACTGATGAATCTCTGTACCCATATCATAACACGAACCATTCGTCGATAAGAGCTGATGTTCACGAATATAGGGAATGATTCCATGGGTTGCTCGGCACTAAGGTTGACAGCTAATCGAATTTCAAGGATTTCTTCAGGATATTGGAACTCCTGGGGCCACACAGCTTCGGTACTTGACAGGAACTCAGGACCATTCCACCACAAAGATGAATTTTGGAGATCCTTTGGCATCAATCCTCTCGATATGATGGCCGCTGGGTTTTCGTTGGTGCCTACGTGACGCCACTCCATAGTCGATGTCAACGCCTGGATCTTTGTGACACGATTTGCTACAAATAGCTTCAGTTGTTCTGGACATCGATTGATCCAAGCAAGATCGATTGTAGAATGATATAATGGTAGCAGTGACTAATTGAGCTAAGAGCAGAGCACCACATAATTCCAGCCTGGGTATTGTAAGATCAGGCTGCGATTTTCTTGGGTTTGTGGATTTCTTGATAGGGGCCACACGTGACTTTGTGCATACTAGTGATACATTGACCTGACCGTTTTCTTTAGTGGATCTCAGATAGATGCACGCACCGTGGGCGTAGTTTGATGCAGCACAAAAGCCATGGATTTGGATGCAAATGGCAGAATGCAACGCCTCACCTTGATCTCTCGTAGACACCCCAACTGCGACTTGAAATCTGTCCATTTTTCGACGTCTTCTTTGTCAGCAACCTCATCGTAATTTGTCTCCTTCTTCCACAAGCTTTGCATGATGAGTTTCACCACGATGATTGCTGGCCAATTGGATCGAAGAACTTTGAGATGCTCGATAATATAGCCCGCTTCGTAGTCTCCGATTTACCGACGATGATGGAATCAACGTTGAACATGAAAACATCTTCGTCAGGTTTCCAAACAATTCCAAGAGCCTTAACCGATTGTTTCTCACCAACCAGCAACTTCTTCTCAATGCTGTCCTGAGGGAGGGTTTTCAGAAATTCACTGCTGTTCGAGCACCACTCGTGAAGCTCGAATTTGGCGCTTCCAAAAACTCCGATTCATCTTTCCGCTGGATCGCTTGTTCGAGTATTTCTGCTCCTGTTAAAACGTCATCAATGTACGAATCTTCAGCTACAACCTTCGCCGCCCAAGGAAAACGTGCTGCTTCGTCGATACAAAGTTGCTTCACTGCTCGAACCGCTTGGAATGGTGCACTCGCTAGTCCATAAGTCACCGTTGTAAATAAGTCGATTGGATTTCTTATTTCCTTGGGTGTCCACAGAACAAGTTGAAATTGTTGATGCTTACCTGCAGTTAATACCTGTCGATACATTTTACCAACGTCTGCCGTAAACGCAATCTTCGGAACTCGGAACTTCATCGATGTTTCATTTAGTTTGGATTGCATCACCGGTCCAACGAGCAGGTTTTCGTTCAGTGATTTTCCGTTGCTGGATAACGCTGATCCGTCAAAAACAACGCGGCATTTTGTCGTGCTACCGTCCGGCTTCTCGACAGCATGGTGAGCAAGGAAGTAATCGTGTCCAGACACGTAAGTTTCCAAAGGACCAACCTTCACCATATGCCCTAGACTGATGTATTCATTAATGAAGTCCTCGTAATCGCCAGCAGCCAATTTTTGCTTAGTCTCCTATCTAGGGCTTGAAGTCGTTTCAATGCCATCTGCTTCGAATCACCAAGATTAGGACAGCCTTGCTTGAAGGGTAATTCCACCACGTATCGACCATCCTCCTGACGACGGTGAGTCTCGACGAATTTTGTTCTGCTTGATCTTCTCCAGTCGTACACTTCGATTCAGTACCATAATCTTCCACTTCCCAGAAACGCTTCAGCAATTCATCCAGATCCTTGTTTGTGACCAAAGCAGAAACTAGTGGCTTCTTGACTTCCACTTTTCCACCAATAACCCAACCAAAAAGCGTTTGTTGCATAACAGGACTACCATTCAGCAGAGGGACCCGGTTGTTCTCCAAGACCTTCGTGTAAACATCCATATGGGATGTTGAAAGATGGATCTGCCAAAATTAGATTTTCAGGAATCATCAAGGTATCTACCACAAAACCTTCGAGAGGAAGATCTGCTGTTAACTAACCAGACATTCGATTTCGGTCTCGTACCTGGAGGTGCTAGAACGAATCGTGAACGCGTGAAACTTGTACTGGACAGTAGAAGTTTTACCGCAGACCCCAGAAACATGTACATCTCCCTTGGTTTTTTCACAGCCCAAGCCGCTGAACGCAGTCTTCGGTAATAAAGTTGACCATGGATCCAGAATCCAAGAGCACTCGGACCTTGTGTAACTTCTTGTGGTAATCTTCGACGTAGACGACGGCAGTATTGAGCAAAATTTGACGACGAATCGGAACGGAACGACAAGTTTGGGAAACAGTGGTATTCGACACAGGAGGTTCGGATGGCATCGGTTGTTCACGTTGACCTATGGGTTGTTCAATCGGTACATTCTCCCTCGGGACTACGGAAAATGATTGTTTGATTTCCAAATGCAGCAATGTATGGTGTTTCTTCTGGCAGGTTCGACACAAACTCCGATTGCATTGACTCGACGTGTGGTTGTTGGACAAACAGTTGAAGCAAAGGTTAAGCACTTTCGCTTTCTCGGTACGTTGTGGAGAAGTCAGCTTCAAGAAACCTTCACACTGGTTGCCCATAATTTGGTGCCGTGACCAGGATACTGGTGTCGACCGCGTGAAGTCGTCAGTGTAACCTCACTTCGACGCTATTGTGCCCGCATTAGAGTGGCCCAAATCAGCTCGTACCCACTGGAAAAATTGTTCCCGGATCGTGATTTTGAAAAAAAAGACCTCATTCTAAGAGGTACAAGGTGAGTACCTCTCCAATACCTCTACGTCCATCATCGCGGTGCTTCTTGGGTCTTTTTTTTTTACAATTTTAGCCTTATTGCTTGTGCCGTGTTTACGAGATGCCTGACGAAAAACGGATCAAGATGAAGGAGGCTAGAAGAAGGAATGCCATCGAAGGGATCAATCGATTGGATCAGTTTCTCACCAACTACGTTCCCGAGCAGCATCAGCATGAAGTTTCCCATCGATTGGATCGTCTGGAGAAGGTGTGGAACGTATTCGAGACCCTGCAGGAAGAATGGATGACTCCGAAGAATCGTTGCAAAACAACTTGGAGCTGAGAATAAAGGTAGAAGAAGTTTATTTCCGTGTGAAGGCAGGCCTAGCCACGAAGTTGCCGCCTACGACCATTTCTGCTGTTGCTGGTCCCTCTACCGCACCTGCTGCTCCAACCACCCTCGCCAATTTAAAGCTGCCGACGATATCGCTTCGATGGCGATTTCAACAACTGGCTGACATTTCACGATACGTTTCTGTCGATGATACATTCGTCCACGGAGATATCGCAGGTGCAGAAGTTCCATTACCTCCGGGCTGCCCTGAAGGGAGAGGCAGCCAACTGGATCCAGTCGATAACGATAACGGCAAATAATTACGCTGTCGTGGGAGACGTTAATGAATCGTTACTCGAACAAGGCCATTCTCCGGAAAAAAACACATCCGAGCCCTGCTCAAGTACCCGAATATCCAGAGTAACACCGTGGAAGCGCTTCATCGAATTGTGGACGAATTTCAGCGCCACACCAAAGTTCTGGAACAACTTGGTGAGCCAGTCGAGCAGTTTAGTTCAATCCTTACCGAGCTGCTCGAGGACAAGTTGGACGACGCTTCGCTTACAGCATGGGAAGAATCAATCGCAACGGAGGAACACCATTCGTACTCCAAAATGGTCGAGTTTCTGCAGAAGCGAGCGCACGTACTTGAGATAATTTCTGTCAACCGACCGCAGCATGTTAATCCCAAGTCCGTTAATCATCCCTCAGCTCCAAAGAAATCAAACCAGCCCCGATTCAGCGCAAATGCAGCAACTGAAATTGCAACAAAATAGTTCCCGATGTGCCCTGCTTGTAAGAGGCAAAAGCATTCCATTTTCGATTGCTCCGTTCTCAACGGTCTCGACTCGAAAGGTCGTATGAAGGTGGTTACGGATAAGAAAGTTTGCAGCAACTGCTTCCGTAGTGATCACTTTGCCCGCAACTGTCGCTCGAAGTATTCATGCAAGCATTGCTCGAAGCGACATCATTCGATGATCCATCCGGGGCCATACGAGCTCAACTTGCCAACTACCGATCAAAATGCAGTATCTGGAGATCTACTTGCTGGTAGTAGATGCGTACGGTCAAGAGCAAATCGTCCGTGTCTTGTTGGATACTGGATCCCAACCGAATGCGATTAGCGAGCGTCTTTGTCAGCAACTTCACCTGAACCGTAGGTCTGTTAATGTACCGATCGCTGGCGTAGATGGGACCGTTATGAACGCCAAGCATGAAGTATCTGCCGAGGTTCGATCACGTGTGTCCGACTTTCGTGAGGTGATTGATTTCCTTGTATTGCGGAAAGTGACCAGCGACACTCCATCCGTACCGTTCAACGCATCTGAACTGAAGCTTCCCAACGGTCTTGCACTGGCGGATCCCGACTTTGGCACACCTCGTAGGGTGGACATGATCATTGGAGCTGCTCACTTCTTTTCCTTTTTGCGGAATGGACGGTTCCACCTCCCAAGTCTCCTATTCGTCGAAACCGTGTTTGGGTGGATTGCCTCTGGAACGATCGATGAGTCCAGTGGTAATTTCCAGCAGCCAATAGCAACTTGCCATGTGGCGACAGTTGTACCGGTTGATGAACTGCTGTAGCGATTTTGGCAGATCGAGGAAGTAAGCGGCTCAAATTACTCCGTAGACGAGCAGAATTGCGAGGATTTCTATCCGCAGACAGTTTCCCGAGATCCTACCGGACGCTATATCGTTCGGATGCCCAAACATCCCCAATGTGACCAGATGAGCCATGGCAATGCGGCGTCTACAGTGGTTGGGCTGGTGGCTGCAAAAGGATGATGAAATGAAGGCTCAGTATTACGCGTTCATGGAAGAATATATCAGTCTCGGCCATATTGGTCTCGCTCCCCATGACGATAATAATGGATCAACCAATTGCTACCTTCCGCACCATCCCGTGGTGAAACAATCGAGCACGACGACCAAGGTTCAAGTTGTGTTCGATGGCTCAGCGAAAACTAGCACCGGACATTCTCTCAACGATGCGTTGCTAGTTGGGCCAGTTGTTCAGGACGACATTCTGGACATTCATCTTCGTTTTCGGATGGTCAAGAACGCAATAGTGGCGGATGCGGAGAAGATGTTGATGCACCGTACAGATCGGCCATTGCAGAAGATTCTGTGGCCACCCAGTAGCAGCGGAACCGTTCAAGCTTATGAGCTGTGCACCGTTACGTATGGACTCGCGCCGTCTTCGATTCTAGCCACGAGAACCCTGTTGCAGTTAGCTGAAGATCATCGAAGTGAATATCCGAAAGCAAGTAAGGCACTGAGGAAGAATGTGTACGTGGACGACTTCATTACCGGTGACAACACAATCGATGGCGCAATCCAGTTGCGCACGGAGTTGATGCAGCTTCTGCAGAAGGGTGGTTTTCTTTTGCGGAAGTGGTGCTCGAATTCGCTGCAGGTCTTGGATGGTCTTCCTCCAGAGCTTCTCGGCACTCAATCTTCCATCAAGTTCGGCCCCGAAGAGACCATCAAAACCCTCGGCATCAGTTGGGAACCTGAGGCAGACGTTTTCAAGTTCGATACGTCAATCATCGTCAACAACCAAACGCCTACGAAGCGCAACTCTTCGACCCTCTCGGAATCATTTCTCCCGTCGTTGTTCAAGCGAAAATCCTCATGCAGCATCTGTGGCTGCTGGCACTGGAGTGGGATGCCGAAGTTCCTCCAGAAATCCGTCAGCAGTGGGTTCGATTCGCCGAGCAGCTACCTCAGCCAAGTCCAAGGTCGCACCACTGAAACCGCTTAGCATTCCGAGACTGGGGCTGTGTGCGGCACTCATCGCTTCCCAACTCTATGACAGAATTTCGAAGGCGTTGGACATAAACTTCTCTGCTGTAGTTTTTTGGTCCGACTCTACAGTGGTATTTCAATGGATGAAATCTCCCCCACGATCCTGGAAAACCTTCGTTGCAAACCGTATTTCCGAAATTCAATCCACTACTCACGGCTCGGAATGGTTACACGTAGCTGGAAAGGATAACCCCGCAGATCTCGTTTCCCGAGATCAGCTGAAGAATTGGTCGCAAACACCTTGTGGAAGTATGGTCCAACCTGGCTGCAAGAGGATATATCACGGTAGCCGGTTCAACTTACGCAGGAAGACCAGTTACCCTCCGAGGAGATGGAAGCAAACCCGAACGTGATACTTACAACCCAGACGCTTAAGCCAAATTCATTGTTCAAGAGATTTTCATCGTACCCGCTTCTGCTTGGTGCAGTTGCATACTGTTTTCGGTTCTACAACAACACTCACCGTAATAAGGAGCACCGGAAGTCCAGCAGCGTCCTGTCCGCCGCTGAATTACAGCACTCCAAATTAGCTCTCGTGAAGCTAGTTCAAGCTGAAACGTTCCCCGAAGATTTGAAGCAGCTGAAGAAGGAGCGAATGGTACCAGGAAAGTCCTCTCTTCGTCTGCTGAACCCCTTCCTCGATTCCGATGGTTTGATCCGCGTTGGTGGCCGGTTGCGCTTATCCGATGCACCATATGACGTAAAACATTAGATCGTTATTCCCGGATTTAATCCCTTTTCGCAACTTCTTCTGAAGCATCAGCATTGTAAACTCGTGCACGGCGGAATTACGCTGACTCTCGCTGTCGTCCGTGACGAGTTCTGGCCACTGAATGGCCGAAAATCAGTACTTAGTGCCAATCGCAAATGCTACGAGTGCAGCAAATCGAACCCGTAACCCATCCAGCAACCGATTGGCCAGTTTCCCGTCGCAAGAGTGACCGCCAACGAAGCTTTCGTTTGCACAGGCGTTGATTATTGTGGTCCCATCTTCCTCAAGCCGATCTACCGTAGAGCCACCTCCCGCAAATCCTACATCTGTGTCTTCGTATGTTTGAGCTCGAAAGGGTTCACCTGGAACTGGTGAGCGACCTTAGCACGGCCGCTTTCCTGATGGCCATAGATCGTTTCGTGTGGAGGAGAAATAAGCCACAGCATCTGTACTCCAACAACAGCACGAACTTCATCGGTGCGAAGAATGCTTTGCAAGAGCTCTATGCCATGCTACAACCCGGACCTGACAACGACAAGATCTCCAAGCACCTCCCCGAAGACAGCATCCAATGGCATCTGATCCCTCCTCGAGCTCCCAACTCTGGTGGCCTTTGAGAAGCCGCGGTGAAGGTAGCCAAAACCCACCTGGTGCGTCAACTCGGTTCTTCACTACTTTCTGTCGAAGAGTTCTCCACGATGCTGATTAAAATCGAAGGTTGCATGAATTCCCGTCCTCTGCTGCCACTTTCGAGCGATCCAAACGATTTTGCTGCGCTCACCCCGGCGCACTTCCTAGTGAAGAACATGATTCGTCACATTCCCGAAGCCGACGACCGTGATGTACCGTTCAACCGTCTCAATCAGTACCAAAAGCTCCAGAAGTACGCTCAAACTTTCTGGCATCGCTGGCGAAATGAGTACCTGAAAGAGCTAAACCTGCAGTATAATGCCAACCCGAAGCGCTACCAAATCAATGTCAATGTGCAGGGGAATGGCGAAGCTCCAAACATTTGGTGAAGATAACGGTAAGATGGTTGAAGAAGTCAATACTCAAGTTTTTCAACTCGAGGTTGGCTACACCATCCATACCCGCAGCCTTCATGTTTTTAGTGCTTCTAATAGCTGCTATAACCTCATCAGCCGATATTCTACTATCATCATGCACTACTACGGAGGTGTCAGCGACTCTAGACATTGCCTCCAGAACGGCAGGCTCATGGGGGCTCACCATGGTATGGTAAAGTTTATGTGAAATCACAAAATGTTGGCCAAGAGCATTGGCCTTTTCAACTGGGGTTATGAGTAGTCGGAATTGATGCTATGAAGAAACGAGTCAGGGGAAAATTTTGGTGGATCCGCATTGATGCTATGGTAAAAGATTATGTTAATTCTTGCGATGGTTGTCTACTAGTTTCGGAACCAGACATCGAACCTATGTATAGGACACCCATTCCTGATGGATCGTGGCGTAAATTAGCACTGGATTTTACTGAAGCTTCCAACAGAATTCATCTACTGGTTCTCGTAGATTACTACTCAAGATACCCTGAAGTTGAAATCATGACGTCGACCACTGCAAAATTGACAATTCAAAGATGATGGATGATTTTTGAACGATTTGAATATCCAGAACAAATAATTTGCGATAATGGTCCACCTTTTTTTTTTTTTTTTTGTTAATAACTTTATTTGTACAGGCTCAATTGAATAAACTTTACAGAGCCAAGTTATCATTTTCTTTATACATTATAAATGTCTTAAATCTAAAATTAAAGGATTGGAACCGATTACTCGCGGTCTTTTCGAGGTTAGTGGATGACAATTGTTTGGATCGGGAGAGGGAAAAGGAGATTTGGAATATGATTTATGATTAAAAAATGTCACTATTTCTAAAACATATACTTAATCCTATCGACGTTATATCAACTCTGTAATTATACAATTATTACAGAAACAAATCTACAAAAAAAAAATACACACACATACAAAACACAAACTAAACACAAGGTTAGTCAAACTTACAATCTATGGTTAATATTCTTCAAGAAAACATATATGAGTTGCATAAACTCCAGATCGCGTCTAGCCAAAATATCCCGAACTGGAACATTAGGTTGTCTACCTCGAGCCCGAAGGGAATCGTACAACTCGGATCTGACTCCACGGTGCTCAGCACATGACCAAATAATGTGATCTGCGTCCTGGTAACCTTGTCCACATTCACAGAGATTACTGTCCCCCAGCTCAACACGGAACAAGTGAGCGTTTAACGAGTAGTGATTGGACATGAGGCGAGACATCATACGAATGAAGTCTCGACCCACATCCAACCCCTTGAACCAAGGACACTTCGACACCTTAGGGATGATAGTCATCGTCCCAAACTCCCTTCACTCCACTTATTCTGCCAGCTGACGAGTGACTGTTGACGATAAATGAAGAAAAATTCATCGTAGGCGATTTATCGATCGTAAATATCGCCTTCCATAGCGCCCACCTTAGCAAGTGAGTCCGCCATCTCATTGCCCGGAATCGATCAATGAGATGGGACCCATGCAAAGGTGATGACAAAAGATCTTAAAGATAAAGCACTTAAAAGCTCTCGTATTTTCATGAGAAAATACGAGGAGTGCTTTACCGGCCTAATGGAGCGAATAGCCTCACCTGAGACTATCCGTAAAAATAAAATAATGATCTGGTGCAAGTGAGGCGATCGTTGCTAGCGTATAGTATATTGCCGCCATCTCAGCAACATATACGGAACAAGGAGCATGAAGCATTCGAGAGGTGCTATGAAATTCGTTATAAATACCAAAACCAACGGACGCCTCTATTAGTGATCCATCTGTGAAGAACGATCTTGCGGAATCAACTTGGCCAAACTTTGCAGCTCTGGGATTCCGCGAATCTCTTGCGTCATGGATAAATCAAAATGAACAGAATTGTCGAAGTCGGAGAAGCAAACACGATAGGGATTATGCTGCGAAGGGCTGACATCCTGTGTTATGTACACGTAGTACAATGACATAAAACGAGTTTGAGGGTTTAGGGTGAGGAGCCTGAGGGATAATTCCGAAAACCGATCAGAGAGTGGCAACATGCCCGCTAACAGTTCGAGACTCATCGTATGAGTCGAGTGCATGCATCCTAACGCGATACGAAGACAGCGATACTGGATCCGTTCCAGTTTGATGATGTGTGTTTTAGCCGCCGACTGGAAACAAAAACTACCGTATTCTAAAACCGATAAAATCGTTGTCCGGTACAACGTTAGAAGATCTTGCGGATGGGCTCCCCACCACGTTCCGGTAATTGTTCGGAGAAAATTGATCCTTTGTTGGCATTTCCGCTTCAGATACTCAATGTGGGATCTCCAGGTGCATTTTGAATCGAACCAGACCCCAAAATATTTAAAAGACATGGAATGAGTGATCGGCTTACCCAAAAGTTGAAGCTTCGGTTGTGCTGGGCTATGCTTCCTAGAAAAAACGACCAACTCAGTTTTCTCCGTGGAGAATTCGATACCTAGCTGGATAGCCCAAGTAGACAAATTGTCTAAGGTATCCTGTAAGGGTCCTTGCAGGTCGGCCTCTCTGGGTCCTGTCATAGACACTACATCAACTTGTCTCAACGTGCAGTTGTCCCTTAGACAATTGTCAATTTCTCTGACGTAGAAATTATACAGAAGGGGGCTTAAACATGAGCCCTGGGGGAGGCCCATGTAGCTAAATCGTGAAGCTGTAGAGTTTCCATGAGAAAGCTCATATGTTTCTCTGACAGCAAATTGTACAAAAAGTTATTAATTAATGGAGAAAGGCCACAAGCGTGGAGTTTGTCTGAAAGGACTTCAACCGATACTGAATCAAAAGCCCCCTTAATATCCAAGAAGACAGAAGCCATTTGCTCTTTTTTAGCAAAAGTCAACTGAATTTCAGTGGAAAGCAACGCGAGACAGTCGTTCGTTCCCTTGCCCCTACGGAAACCAAATTGAGTATCTGAGAGTAGGTGGTTCAACTCAACCCATTTGTCGAGGCGAAAAAGGATCATTTTCTCCAACAATTTTCGAATACACGATAACATCGCAATGGGACGATACGAGTTGTGATCTGACGCGGGTTTTCCAGGCTTTTTAATGGCTATAACTCTCACCCGCGTCCAATCATCTGGAACAATATTAAGCTCCAAGAACTGACCAAACAAGTTCAACATGCGCCTCTTAGCGACGTCTGGGAGGTTCTTCAA